TTTCATTTTAATGGCGTACTATATTTTTCCTCACGCATACAAATATTCTAAACGAGACAAATGAGGTATTTTAGTGCGCCAGAAAGGATTCGTTTCCAATTTTCATCTCAAGACTACACGAAACGCTGTTCTTTCCTCTTTCGGCTTTCGAATTCATTTCAACTTTAAGATTTGAAATCTTCTTTTCATTGAGTGAATCTCTTTTCATTCTTTCGTTTAGACTATTTGTATCCCGAATCTGCTTTCTCTAAATCCTCCACCACGATTTTCAGGGGTGTTTTGACAATTATATGAATAAGTGTTGTATATATATGTCGTAGCCGATTATGAATTTCAGCCGATTATGAATGAGCGGGTCTAGGAGCGTCCGATTATGAATGAGCGGGTCTAGGAGCGTCCAACCATCAAGTATTTGGTATCATTCAACGCACAATCATTAATAATTATGTTAAATTTTTAAAATTAGAAAGATTGGATAAAAAGAAAAAAAATTATGGGGCCTCAAAGTTTCCTCTTGAACAAACAGTTTTTTGCTCTAATTTTTTTTATCAAATCTTTCTAATTTTAAAAATTTAACATAATTATTAATGATTGGGCGTTGAATGATACCAAATACTTGATGGTTGGACGCTCCTAGACCCGCTCATTCATAATCGGACGCTCCTAGACCCGCTCATTCATAATCGGACGCTCCTAGACCCGCTCATTCATAATCGGCTACGACATATATATAGGAAATGCTTTATTATCTACGTTCGTTATCTGCTTCTTTAATTTGGTCACCTATTTCTAAATCCCTAATCGACAAAATTGAAAAGGTTCAGAAAAACTTTACTCGAATAGCACTATTCAAAATTGATTTTGCTAACTACTCATCCGTCAGGTATAAACATAGATTGAAACTTTTCTCACTTGAAACCTTAGAACGGCGCCGTCTTTTCATAGATTTGGTTGGGTGCTTTAAAATTGTAAAAGGAGAACATCAAAACCCTTTTTTAGACTAAACTTTAAAGATTGTTTAAAGCTTTTTTTTTGATAAAGTTTTACAACTCAAGTCTGCTGAGGACTTTGTTAAATGTTTACAGCACAAATCCACTGAATCACTCGAGGCTTTTGTCGACTAGGCGTGGCTCTTTTATCTTGCATCCCGAATCTGCTTTCTCTAAATCCTCTAGAGCTTTTTTCGTAAATCGTGTGACTAAAGTTTGGAATGCCCTTCCCGACAGGTTGCGTTTGATCTTCACCGTGTCTGATTTTAAAAGGGCTATCGTTGCATCGTTTCGTTGCATTTTAAGTGACTTTGTGATATTTTAACTAGTACATTTTTCATGTCGTTTTTGCACTTTATTTTCTTTCTGAATAAAATATTTCTAATAATTCTCTTCTCTTTAATCCCTTTTCCCTTTTCCCTTTCCTCTTTTCATATCGTTCTCGCACTTTATTTCTTTCTAAATAAAATATTTATATTTAAATCAAATTCTTCTCCAATTGATAAGCTCTAATTTTTCAAAAAAAACGAAAAATCCAAGGAATTCAAAAAAAGTATGGCTATTAGAAATCCTTTTTGACTTCATTTAAAAGAAGCTGAAAATGAATGAACTAAAAACTATTTTCAGTGCGCCAGATCGCTTGCGTTTATGTTAAAAAGTTTCATTTTTGAAAAAAAGCCAACTTTTCCCCGACTCATTCAACTTTTTCTGATAAAAAGATCAAAGAAATCACTCTTTTTTTTTTCGTCAGATTTCTATTTATTTTGACACTTGGCCCAAATGATTTTTGTGAAAAAAAATGGAAAAATCAGTATCTATTTGATTAAAAATTTTATTCTTTTTCATTACTTGGTTTCAGTTTTTTTTTAGATCTGCCGATTGCTGACAAATTGCTTTTTGAATGACAATGACTGTTACGAGTTTCAAGTAAGTACAAATATTATCAACTCGTCCCCCTAATATCTTGACCATATTATACCCCCGTGCTTCTAATTCTTTCCCTAAAGCGTGTCCCCTTTCTCTTTCTATCGTAATCTTGTCTTTATTTTTATTCAATCTATCAACTTTTTGTGTCTTTCGATATCCTATAGAGACAAGATTAGGGTAGAAAAAGAAAAGGGACACGATTTAGAGAAATGGATTCGGAGATGAGCATACAGCGTTTAAATTTTAATTCTAAAATGACTCAATTCAGTCCCAGCTCATACGATGATTGTAAACGTTTGGCCGATCACGTCAAAAGTCTTGTCGATTTGCCTGAACAGCCAAAATTCGGTAAGAATAGACCGTTTAAAGCAAAAGTCTTAAAATTTCAATGATTCAGTCAAAATAGCTAAAACTTGTGCCAATTTCAGGTATCATTTGCGGTTCGGGATTCGGGCATGTGGCTGAAACTTTAACCGAACGCCAAATCGTTCCCTTCGAGAAAATTCCCGGTTTCCCGAAAACATCCGGTAAGTTGTACAATTGTTTTAAAAGTTCATACAACTCCACAATTATTTTTCAGTTGAGGGGCACTCGGGAAATCTCGTCTTCGGCTATTACAAAGGAAAATATATTTGTTGTCAACAAGGAAGAATCCATCCATATGAACATCATATGAATTTGGCTTTGGTGAGTGAAAATGAAAAAGCCAAGATTGACAAGATTACTGTAACTAATTTACATTCTATGTACTGTTGCCCGTTTTTAAATGCACCAGCAAATGCTATTTCCCCAGTTGGTCAATGTGTCCTAAAAGTTGACCTTCAGAAAAACAATACCGTGAGACTGCTTACTCTTCGTCAAAAATGCGTAGAAGCACGGTAGTTTTCTCCCTTGGCACCTTTTAGCAAACAGTCCAGGCTTAAATAAAAATCAAGACTAAATCAGCCCGTAAAATGTCACTTTCTAGTGTGCCACTCCCGTCCGTATCATGTACTTTTTGGGTGTCCGTACGTTGATCGCCACAAATGCCGTTGGAGCTGTGAATAAATCGTATATCACTGGGGATTTCATGGTTTACAAGGTGGGTGAATTGATAATTCCACCAATTTTCAATTCGAAATTTAAACTCCTGAAACTTTAGCAATAAAACCAGTAGCAAACAATAACAAATTTTCAAATTAAAGTGGTGAAAAGTTAACAAAGTGAAAAGAAAGTTAACAAAGTGAAAATAAAGTATAACAAAGGTGTTTCGAATATTTACAACGGGTCATCGTCGAGACTTTGAATCAGTTCCTAGAAGTAAAATGAAATTTTTGTATAAATTTCAACCCACTTTGATCATTGTGTCATATTTCCGTAGATGTGGTATGTATTCTTCTGAACACATTTCGAAATCCGTCTTCAGCTTTCTGAAATGGGACTTTTGCTCAAAAATACCCCCAAACCCTTACGTGCATTTATCTCGTTTCTTTTTCAAATCCTCGAAAGTTAGCACATTCATGAGGGCCCTCTCTTTGTCCAAAAGTTTCTAAAGAAAATTTAGCTTCTCCCAAATCAATGAACCTTTCCATTAAAACAGATATTATTGAAAACAGTCCCCTACCTCTTTAAATCCTTCGATTTCACCATGGAGTTCCTTGTGAAGATCCGGAAACAACAAATCGTAGGTATTGATCACGCCAATTGAAACTTCACGAAACTTTTCTGAGATTTGATTAGCCTAAAAAGCAAAATCTTCAATATTCGTTATTCAATCTCTCTTCAATCTATCCATTCAACTCAATTAGTCTATCTGTTACCTCTTCTTGCAAAAGAACCATTGTCTCGTGTTGACGATGTTTCTTATGCGTACATGTACCACAAAGCTAAATTATTGGGGAAATAAGGAACAAAATGATCCCGACCTGCAAAGTGCACTCATTGCAGTGGAACATTTCGCTGATGCTGTCCTGATAGATTTATTAATGTTAGATCTTTTTAATCAAACAAACCACTTTCACGCATTCGTCACAAAAGCGCTGTCCTGCTTCCCCCATATCTTCCAATTGTTGCGTCATTTTTGGCAGCTCTTTCAGAAAATCTTAACAACAATTATACATTAAATGCCACTATTTAAAAATTACCTTGAAGCCGGTCCCTTTTAGAATCGCCGAACGTAGACTCGCGGAACGTCTCATTACACAGCGGGCATTTGATAGCATAAATTTCCTCTTCTTCTTCTTCATCATCTACCCGTGTATTCAGATAGCATTCAGTGCATAGAACGTGGTTGCAATTTAATGCACGGGAGCTTTTTTCACCCTCATGTGAGTCTAAAATGACGATCATAAGCCAAATTGTGCCAAGTGCCAAAACTTACACTCATCCTGGCAAATTGTGCATTCAGGAAGTTTGAATGGCTAAGAAAGACAATTTTGTTACTGAGCAAAACATGGGCAAACCTTCACAAGTAGATATCCACCTAAGATTGGCGAAAGCGCCAAAGCATCCGATGACAGAAGATCTGAACTCCAAATTATAAAAATTTTCTTTTACTCTGGCAACTTACCAATTAGAAAGAAGGCAAAGTTGGGATTGTCAAGGCAGACCTCTGAATCACATTGATGTTTTCTTTCGTCTTTCTCCAAAGGTCCCTCTTTCTCGAAGCATTCGTGGCACATTGCTAACCCACAATTCAAATGCCGTGGAGATCGAGGTTGATTTGCGATCGACACAACTAAAGAACAAGCTGATACAAAAAATCAACTCAAAGCTTGGTCACATTTCCTAAAATTTCAATCCTTACACGGCTGTTCGCAGACGATGCAGTTAAGCGACTCGAATACTTTCATGTCTAAAAAGAAGTATTGTCTTCTGAAGCAAATGTAGATCGATTAAAAGGCAAAATTCATTTTCGGTTCAAAACCACGCAAAATATTTGAACAGGCAACTATTTTGAAAAATTTTATTGAAAAAGAACATTAAAAAAAGTAACAAATTCCCAGCCATATGACAATCAAATTATCAACTACCAATCTTGATTCTTGCCCCTTTCGAGAGTTCGAATCAATCCCTAAATGTGATGCGTTTTCAGCAAAGTTCTTAGCCCACCTTAATCTTTGCGTCGTATTTGAGTAACTCTCGCATATATTCTTCTGAGCACGCCTCAAAGTCCGTCTTCAGCTTCCTAAAAAGAGAAATATTTTTCTGTTGTATCAATCAAAAACTCACATGCACTCTTTGTGATCCTTCTGCAATCCTTCGTAAGTAACAACAGTCGTAAGAGTATCGACTTGGTTAATAAATTTCTAAATGTGAAGTTTGCTAATTTAAGCGTTTTACCAATGTAAGCATTTTACCTCCTCAAATAAGTGGATACCATTAATAAGTTCGTTGTGAAGAACCGGAAACACCGACTTGTTGATCTCATCAAATGAAACACAACGAAGCTTCTCCGACATTTGATTAACCTAAAAAATTGAGCTTTCTACCAGTTTGGTGTTACCTCATTTTCTAAAAGAGTCATCGTTTCGTGTGATCGATGTCTTCTGTGAGTGCAAGTGCCGCAAAGCTAAGATTTTTTAAAATAATACTCTCAAAAAATACCATTAACCTTCAACACGCATCCGTTGCAGCGAAACATTCTGTCGACAACATCCTATAAATATGCATATATTTTGTGTTAAGAAACAAAAATAAATCACCAATCCCTTGCATTCCTCACAAAAACGATATCCCGTTTTATCCATTTCTTCTAGTTGACGAGTCATTTCAGGCAATTCGTTTAAGAAATCTAAAAATGGTCAAGTTATAAAATACGTTCTTCGTACCTTTTAATCGATTTGCCCAAGCATTAGCACCCGTTGAAAAGGCGAACTTGCCACAAATTGGACAAGTAACTATGTATTTCCAAGTTACTTTCGTCGCAGCATCGTTATTTGCCTGCAGAACACTTAGATGGCATTCATGACAGATGATGTGATTACAAAGGAAAATAAACGATTTCTTGTTATCGACTTTGTCCGAATCTAAAAATATCTTGCCTATTATCTGCAAAGCTTCACTATTGCTCTGAGTTTACTTGTTATACATCTACTTTTCCAATAAACCAAACACATCACCTACATTCATCTTGACAAATTGGACATTCAGGTCGAAATGGCTAAACATTTTTTAAAAAAATAAACGATAGCAGACCAACCTTCTGAAGTAAATATCCACCCAAAATTGGCGACAGCACTAATGAATCTTGTGACATCAAATCTAAACTTAAGATATCATTTCCGGTCTAAAAACGCACCAATTAGGTAAAAGGCAAAATTGGTATTGAGGAAGCATTGATCCGCATTATAAACGCATTGATGTTTTCTTTCGTCTTTCCCCAACGATTTCTCTTTCTCAAAGCATTCATGGCACATCGCTAATCCACATAATAGACGTCGTGGAGATCGAGGCTGATTTGCAATCGGCACAACTAAAGGATCACAAATGATAGCAAGTAGAGCGTGTTCTTCGCAAGTAATGCGTTTTCTAAAATGCACCTATTTGAAAAAAAATGTCGTAGTCAAACCGTTAGTTGGCATCTAATCAGTCTGATTTTGGTATCATTTAATGAGCATTATGATTCCTCATCGAAAGATACCAAAATCGGGCCGATCGGATGTAAACTAACGGTTTGACTACGTAGTTTTAGAAGGACGCATTACTAGCGAGAAACACACTCTAATAGCAAGCACCAGCTACTCAACAAAATTAATCTCTTATCATCCTAATGAATTTTCTAAACGCCCCAAGACTTACACGGTTTCTTGCAGAGGATGCAGTTCAACGACTTGAATACCCTCATTTCTAAACAGACTGTTGTCCATACAAAAGATTTAGTTAATATTATGAAAACAATTTCAAAGATATCAACTAAACCAGCTACAATCGATGCTAAATCATAAAACAAACAATTATAGCAACTTTATTGACCTTATAACAAATTTGCAAAGTGTAAATATCGTATAACAAAATGAAATCATAATATAAAAATGAAAAAGGTTAGATGTAAAAGGGAATGTAAACAAGATATGACTTAATTCGGATTATCATCAAGAGTTTTCATAAGTTCAAAATAAAATTAGCAAAACAAATTCAACTCACTTTGACTCTTTTTTCGTATTTGCGTACATGGGGCATGTATTCTTCGGAGCACTTCTCGAAATCCGTCTTCAGTTCTCTGTAGAAAAATAAATTGAAAAAAAGAGAAAAACTGAAAGTTGCTTACGTGCACTTTTTATGTTTCTCCCTTAAATCTTCAAAGGTGGACGCATTTGTGAGATCTCTTTTCTTTTTTCAACAGCTTCTAAAGAAAAATTTTAATGGATTAACAAACCTGATCATTAGCAAAAATTACTTGATCAAATCCTTGAAGGCCATCAGACAATTCCTTGTGAAGCCCAGAAAATAGTTGATTGTACGTTTGAACCTCACTGATTGAAAGATCGCAAAGCTCGTGAGACATTAAATCCGCCTAAAAAAATATGAATTTTTTAAAAACAAAAACTCTGCTGACTGTGCTTTTACCTCTTTTTGCAGAAGTGTGACTGCCTTGTGTGATCGATGATTCTTGTAGATACAGTTACCACATAGCTCAAATTGTGCAAATGAATTGTATATTAACCAGCACAAACCTGCAACGAGCACTTCTTACAATGATGCATTTCGTCAACAATATCCTAAAACAACTTTTTCATTGGGTCAATGAAAATATGTAGACCAATTTCTTGCATTCATCACAAAAACGATATCCAGATTTATTCATTTCTTCTAATTGGTATGTCATTTCAGGCAATTCGTTCAAGAAATCTAGATAAACAAATAATTAAATTTGACAAAATATTTGGTTGATAAACCTTGCAACCAATTTTTCCGACGATTTTCACCACTTGTCGTAATGACTCGACTTGTCGTAGTACAAGTCGGACAAGCAATTTCGTATGTCCAAGTAGCCCGTGTCGCGATATCGTTATTTTGCTCCGACCTTTTCTGACGACATTCAGTGCATACAATGTGCATACAATACAAAAAAAAAGCCTCCTTAGAAGCGTCTTTGTTCGAATCTAAAATTCGCCAAAATTATCATAATTGAAGTTCACAACCACCTACAATCATAATCAAAACTTACATTCATCGTGACAGATTGGGCATTCAGGATTGACCAATGGCTAAACTTTTTTTGAAAAAAAAACCAACAATAACAGGCTAACCTTCATAAGCAAATATCCGCCCAAAATCGGCGAAAGAGTGAAGCAATCCTGTGATAGCACATCTAAAAGAAAGAAATCAGCCTTCGTAATCGGTTATTAGAGATCAAAAATTCTTACCAATCACACAGTAAGCAAAGTTGGGATTGTAGAAGCATTTTTCGCCGTAATCGCATTTATGTTCCCTCTCCTCTTGTTTCAACGACTTTTCCTTCTCGAAACATTCATGACACATCGCCGATCCACAAAGCAAAAGTCGTGGAGATCGAGGCTGTCTTGCAATCGGCACAACTAAAGAAAACCTTAGAAATTTTTATATTCTTAACAAAAACCTAGGTAGCTGTTGCGGTAACAAAAGACCTTGAATTTTTAAAGAAAAAGCTGAGACTTACACGGCTTTTTGCAGACAATGCAGTTCAACGACTCGAATACCCACATTGCTAAATAAACTGTCGTATACACAAAAAATTTAGTTAATATTATAAAATTAATTTCAAAGGTATCAGCTAAACCAGCTACGACCGATGCTAAATCATAAAACAAACAATTATAGCAACTTTATTGACCCTATAACAAATTTGCAAAGTGTAAATATCGTATAACAAAATGAAATCATAACATAAAAATGAAAAAGGTTAGATGTAAAAGGGAATGTAAACAAGATATGACTTAATTCGGATTATCATCAAGAGTTTTCATCAATTCCTAAGTTCAAAATAAAATTAGCAAAATAAATTCAACTCACTTTGACTCGCTTGTCGTAATTGAGTACCGTATTCTCTCTAATAGTAGTGCGCACTACTATTTTTTCAACCCCCTCTCGGACCGCAATACTATTAGAGAGAATACGGTAAGTGGAGCATGTATTCTTCTAAGGACGTCTCGAAATCCGTCTTTAGTTCTCTGTAGATAGAAAAATTAAAAAAAAAAGAAAAACTGAAAATTGCTTACGGGCACTTTATCTTTTTCTTTCTTAAATCTTCAAAGGTCGGATTTGTGAAATCTCTTGCCTCCTTCAACAATAATATTCCGAATCGCTATCTTGGTCAGTTACCAACCGAAACCATTGAAAAAATATTTCGAAAATTTTTATTAACAAATGTTTCAAAAGTAATAACAGTTAAAATGAACATTTAAAAAGTAATAACAGGTTAACAACGCAAAAGTAAAAAAATGTGCATTTAAAAGAACGCGAACAAAATCTTTCAATTGTTTCAAATTGAATCCTTAAATTGTTTTATATATGTTTACGTCCGAATCTGAGGAGACGTCCATCTCCGATCCGGACGTCCGAATCTGAGGAGATTCATTCTCCTCTGAAACGGACGTCCGACTCAGAGATGGACGTCCGACTCTGAGTCGGACGTCCGTTTTGGAGGAGAATGATCATTCTTCTCGGAATCGGACGTCCGATCTTGAGAAAAAATAGTTTAAATGCAAAATCCAATGTTTTGAACCAAACACATGTATTCAGATTCAAATTTTCTGTTTTCTTTCAAATTCAACTATTTGTTCTCAAGATCGGACGTCCGATTCCGAGAAGAATGATCATTCTCCTCCGAAACGGACGTCCGACTCAGAGTCGGACGTCCATCTCTGAGTCGGACGTCCGTTTCAGAGGAGAATGAATCTCCTCAGATTCGGACGTCCGGATCGGAGATGGACGTCTCCTCAGATTCGGACGTAACATATACAAAATTGGGATATCATTCTATTGAATCCCCTTCTATGGTGCCCTTCAATTACAGTATTTACGGTAGATTGGATAAGAAAATAGAGCGAAGATTATGGTAGAAAGAGAAAGGGAACACGGTCTAGGAAACGGATTTGTGGGGAGCACGCTAATCAATACGAATTCTGTTTCAGGATCACATTTTCATGCCTGGGATGGTCGGTCATTCTCCATTGATCGGTTCGTATGATCAAAGATGGGGTGCCCGATTTGTCCCTTCAGCTGGGATTTATGATGTCGAATTGAGGTGGGTAAAGGAGGTAAAGAAATCGACCAAAAATTTCTAAAAGTCTAGATCAAAAATGCTCAAGTTGGGTCAAGCGAGTGACTACCGAGTACATGAGGGGATCTATGCAATGCTGGCAGGTGAGACAATTAAATAAGAGCTTTAAAATGATACCGTATCACCTCTAGTTAACCCTAAAAAGCGCTCAGACAAAGCCACCATAATCCCATTGAGTTTTGGTAAGAAGAATCCGATTAAGCTGCTTAAACTCAAATTTACCTTCTGTTTTTAGTTTTACAAAGACTGTCAGCGTACGGTAGCTCTTTTCAAAAAGGCATTGTTTTAGGAACATAGAGTACAATGCTTTAAGAGACATAGAGTATTACGGTAATTTAAATACAAATATTATATTAGTTGTTGAAATTCGTTGTTGTTGTTGAAATTCTCAATTCCAGGTCCCCAATACGAATCAACTGCTGAGATCGATTACCTGAGATTGATTGGAGCGGATATTGTTGGTGAGGAGAACATTTATAAAGATTAGCTCTTACAAAACTTATCTACTAGACAAGATTGCAAGCTAGTGCCAAGAAAAAACTCTACTAGAGACAATGTAAACTAATGTAGGCTTTGTACTCTCACGAACATATGCTGAAGTTGAAATATCCTATCCTGATGATTCAGGAATGTCCGTTTCCCACGAGGCTCTCGTCGCTCACCAAATGGGTATCCGAGTGTTGGCGATGGCGTTGATCACTAATGAGTTTGTTTCTAACTATTTAAAATATGATGTCTATTAAAAAGCAAAGCTTAATTTAAACTTTAAGTTTTTTCATCAAAATTCCCTTGAAGAGTCGAACTGGTTAAGTCACTTTCTTATGCAGGAATCAAATATTTGCTTCCGAAACCTATTTAAAGGGTACTTGGGCAGCTTTCAGAAAAGAGAACTAAACTGTTTCAGTTGAAAGTCTAGTTTTATAGTACTCTCAAAGTGACCCAAGTGTGACAAAAGTGTCCCAAGAGTGACCCACAAGTGTCCCAAAAGTATTACCATGGGAGTGTTCTCTCTATTTCTTCAAAGGGATGCCCCCTATTTCCTTTTTTCATAGAAATATCAACTTCTTACACATTTTATTTGCATTTACTCCTTTTTTTGCATAACTTTACTTTACAGTCATGGACAAAAATCTTTTAACGTTGGTTTTCCGAAGTTTTTTTTTCGTATCGTTCTTGGTCGTATTCTTATTTGGTTCTTGGTCCAAATTAGAGAGAATAAGATCTTTAAATCTTTTAACCGTTTGCAAATTGGTCGAATTTGAATCAAGATACACCCATGCACAAAAAAAATGTCACATCGTTTTTACAAAACTTTACGCCTAAATTTGACCTACTAAACGTGTTCCAAATTCTATGCTGTCAAAAGGTTTTAGATAGCAAAAAGCTTTTACTTTCTTGTGAAAAAGTGTTAAAGTTCCAGCAATTTCTTTAAATTTTTATTTTTCAATAAATACCGGAAGAACACCAAAAACGGGTGCACAAAAAAATGTCACATTTAACTTGAACCTGCTTTTTTCCGTTTTACTTTTTTGATTGCATCTTTATGCTAATTTTAAAATTTTAGAATGGTAAAATCACAGCTCAACGCCAGACAAAGAAAAGATTGTTGAAGCAAGGAAACAAGGAACCCGCGGAAACAGGTGGCCGAGCTGTTCAAATGTGAGTAAGAACCATTTCTCGCATTGCTGCGAAGTCGAGAACGACTGGAAATTTGCACAGGACACCAGGAAGGGACGGCCACCAGCCACTACACCACGCGAAGACAAGGCTTGATTTTGGGCACAATAAGGACCCGAATCTTAACGTCGGATGGTGTTTGCCTCATCAAGCAACAATCGGCAAGGAATCAACGAAGACAGGAGCCGACGCTTGAACGAGCAGGATTGATAACTAGAAGGGCCGCCAAGAAGTCTCTGATGGTTGCCAAACAGGAAGATCCGACCGAGTCGCAAAAAGACCAAAGTTGTAGGCCGAATGACTGGGCCAATGTCATTTTCACCGATGATCGAAGATCAACTCTTCAACCCTAATGGCAACACTTGATCCGGAGACCAGTTGGACAACGCCATAACATCAAATACTTGCGGCCGACAGTCAAATTTGGTGGCGGATCGATATGCTAGGGGGAAAAGACTTGTTCCCTTATGTCAACTAACTTGCTTTTTTCAGGAGCGAGACTAGAAGTCACCAGGTCCGCTCGTCTTTCTCAACTCAACCTTGAAGCCCAGCGGACAAGACGATCCTGGAGAATGATCTTCTTCCATTTGCGACCACGAAATGGGACAAGGATGGTTGTTGTACCAGGATAACGCCCGTGTCACAAGCACCAATGTGATAGGAAGGGTCGGCCGACTTCAAACGGTGGAAGGGCTCGTTACCGGGATGGTTCGCTGACAACGTGTCAAGCTCGTCGCTGCTCCACCTTAAGCCCGGATCTCAACGAATCGAGCATTGTGGTCGCACATCAAGGGTAAACTGAAGGGCAAACAATTTCGACCAAGGTTGAGCTTTGGTACTCATTCGAAGCGAATGGCGGAAAATTTCTCCTCAAATCTTGGAGGATTTGACTGATCGATGCCACGGAGGATCAGGCAGTTATCAAGCTAAGGGAGGTCCGACAAAATATTAGATTTTTGTTTTTATCAATTTTTATTTTATGTGTGACATTTTTTTGTGCACCCGTTTTTGGTGTTCTTCCGGTATTTATTGAAAAATAAAAATTTAAAGAAATTGCTGGAACTTTAACACTTTTTCACAAGAAAGTAGAAGCTTTTTGCTATCTAAAACCTTTTGACAGCATAGAATTTGGAACACGTTTAGTAGGTCAAATTTAGGCGTAAAGTTTTGTAAAAACGATGTGACATTTTTTTTGTGCATGGGTGTATACAAAGAACAAACTTCTAAAAACCAACTTTAAAAGACTTTTGTCCATGACTGTATTTTTATCAAACTGTAACAAAAAGAAAGTTTGAACAGAACAAAAAAGTTTGAAAAGAAAACGATTACAACAAAAGAAGATAATTTGCAAAACAATTAACCAACAATTTCCTTGTCCTCGTCCGAATCACTATCGCTTTGGTCGAAGAGTAACGGCATTCCAAGTATTTCCATCATGGCCAATGCATTCATTTTAGACATCTCAAAAACTTGGTCGGAAAATTGTTGTAGCGAGGTGGGAAGGATCTAAACAACAAAATTATGCGAAAAATTTCAAAAACAATTTAAAAATATGCAAAAACCAAAATAAGGATGCCCCTATTTTGAAAAAAAGGCAAAAAAACAACTAGAAAGAAAGTTTTTCGGCGCGATTCGTTTGCTCCTAATGCGTCTAGCAATATAAAAACACAAAAGTAAAAGAAATTAACAAAAGACAGTGCGCGCGAAAACAGGCTAAAACAGAAAAAACTTACAAGAGAGTACTACTATTGGGACACTTGTGGGTCACTTTTGGGTCACTTTGAGAGTGCTTAGGGAGAGTACGATAAAACTTGAGTTGAAAGTAATGGCTGGATTTCAATTTCATTCAAGAAACAACCCATCGCACAGTAGATTAGAAAGCAATCGAGATTTCAGTTTATAGCTTTCACTCAAAAATCTTTCAGTCTTCAAGACGCATCGAAATGTGGTGCAAATCTCAAATCCGAGGATGTTCTCGAAGCAGCCGAAGAAGCCGCGAATAGGGCAAGGACATTGATTTTGGGATTGATTTCACAGGAATAGAGCTAATTTCATTCTATAACTAATATTTTAAAGAGTACTGTAATCCTAGTATTTTATTTCATCACATTATACTAGTGTTTACTGTACTTTTAGTGTGTTTTATTTATTTCCGTTCACTTCTGTTTGTTCTTTTGTTCGCCACTGATGAAGATTAACTCCAGATTTTTATTTTGACAATAAAGAAATGAATATCTTTTGACTTTTGCCTCATTAAAAGCTCAAATACATTTACTGAAAGCTTTCGCCAAAGTAAAAGAGTAGTGAAAAGGTTTATAGGAGATTTTTTTGAGAAGGAGAATAACTAAAGATTGTTTCCAAAAAAAGGGGACATCTGAAATGAGAAGAATTTTGTTGAAAAGATTGAAAAGAGGTTAGGCAAGCACCCTAGAAAGTCTCTTAATCGCAAAAGCTGAGAGATTATCTGGACCAGACTAGAAGAAACAAATGCAAAAACAGAAAACCCCAAAACGGCACCGAAACCTCACCCAGTCACATCGACACTTTGAAAGTCTACTTGAATAAAGCCCAGGCTCAATATTTGTATGAATATAAGTAGATACTTAATCCTTTAATACTTTAACTTAATTTAATGACACTTCTAGCAGACGCATTCTGTGAAAAGGGCGCGGTTCAAATCCATTCAATGTTTTTGGCGTAGATAGGCTCTTTGTGATTGAACAAAGTACCAAAATAAAAAACCTACCAAAAAAATAAATTTCCCCAGGAGTCAACGTTTAGTGGATAAAGTTTTATGTGCTAAAAGCCTCTGCCACGAATTCAATCAAGCCTCTCGATCGAAATATTCATGGATAGATCTAGATATGCTGCAATATTAAAGGACTAAAACAGATTAAGTGTCTACTTATATTCGATGCGCGACAGGGAAGTGACCTGCGTCACAGCGTGTTTTTTTTATTGGCTCACCGCAGGTGGCCTGAGAAACCACGTGATACGCCATCCCCGGATCACATTCGTACATCTTGGGGAACGCAAGCTATTAAGGGTTAACAGACGCTTTTAGAAAATTCTTTTCAAACAGTTTATATGCAAATTTTCAAAAAAATTTTGGGCGCAAGAGATTTACAAGTACCTACAAAAGTTTAAATGCGGTCATGCTAGCCAATAAGAAACTTACACGGTTTCTCGCAGAGAATGCAGTTGAGCTATTTGAATATCAATTTGAATATCTTGATATCTTCATTTCTAACTTCATTTCTAAAGACAAAAACTAAAGTCAAGAGAGCAAAGAAAGGGCAAAAGTTTGATTTATGGTAAAATATCGAAAAATTGTATATAAAAATGCTCACCGCAAAGAGCTGAGCTCGAATAAATAAAAATTAAAGCGCGGAAAATATCTGCTTAAAACTTTGAAAACTGAAATTGAACTTAAAAAATCATTAAATGGACCGTTTCTTTTTCAGTTACCGTATTTTCTCTAATAGTAGTGCACCAAGAGCGTCACCTAAATTCCTTGAAATCTCGAGAACCGCTTATCAGAACCTATCAATGTGGGGTCGGAAAATGTAGCTGACAATGAGATCTTGTGGATTTGAGGGTTGAGCTTCTGCGAAAACTTAAAAACTTAAAAACTGTAAAATAGTCATCAACTCGGCTCGCCCGGGTGCGCTACTATTAGAGAAAATACGGTATATAGTTAGTTAGTTACCAGTTAGCCATCAACTTTGATCCCAATTTCCATTTTACTAGTAGAGCCAACATTAAAGTGGTAGTGGGGGAGAAAATAGAATTAAGCTAGTTTGGCTGACAATGATAATGGTGGAAGTCGAGCGGACAGTAAATGGCAGTTGAGCTTGATAGGGAAATTAATTACCAATGAATTTGGTACTATCCTAGTTGGGCACTTTTTTTCCTTCAAAACCACTTTTCTGAGGTGTTTTATGGTAGATTCCGAAAACACAACCGAGAAAATACGTTTTAAGCCGAGTTTCGGGGCTCCAAAGTGCGCTCTCATACAGTGTGATTTGAGGGATACACATAGTCAAGAAAGTGGTCAAGAAGTGGTCAAGAAAGTGGTCAAGAAATGGTCTCTCAAAACATTTTTTTGAAGCCAAAAACACTTTTTCTGGCATAATTTAACCTACTGATTACGTTTCTGATCAAATTGGAGAAAAATAAAAAAAATTTTTTAAAATTGATCATGTTCGACATGAGTCAAAATCGGTCAAAATCTCAAAAAAAAATTTCGATTTCTTTTGCCTCTACCAGTCAATTCAAGTTAGGAAATGAATATTTAGTGGTTAAAAATGGTTTTGGCTCTAGTTTTGACCTTGAAAAGTGCCCCAATAGTCGATAGCTTGGGCGTCCATATACAGTGGCGGAAAATGAAATAGAACCGATGCTCCATTTGCACAAATACCACGAATTTTCTATTATTTGCACATCCACTCAAAAAGACATCAACAGCTATTTTTTTTTTATGTTATCTTAGCTTTCGATTGGCACCGCTCTTAGCTGAAAGTTCTTTCTCTGTAACTTGGTAGTTTAGGTTTTCTTCAGCCTACCCCATTATAGCGACGACAATTAAATAGAACCGATCTTGAAATCTGCTTTTTTTTTCGAAACTTTCGATTTAATTAGTTTTGTTGCAAGACTCTATTTAAATATGGGACGAGGTATTCATATCACACCATTTCAAAGACAGGAAGTTGTGACACTACGGAAAGAGGGCAAGAGTTTTGCGGAAATTGGTTGCGCACTGAAATCTCGAAAGCTGCTGCCTTGAAACAACAGGATCTATTCAGAATAAGATACGGAAAAGATCTAGAAAAACTACGTCCCGCGAAGAACGGATCATTCATCGACTTTCTGAGACTAATCGTCACAAAACTGCCGTTGATATTCATTCTGAAACTATCGGATGCCTCGCAAGAAGTGTCACTGTGCGAACTGTTCAAAGAATTCTTAAGTGCTATGGATTGATGGGTCGAGTAGCAAGAAAGAAGCCCTTTATCTCCAAGAAAAACCAAAAGGAACGTCTAAAGTTTGCCCGAGAACATTTGTCGTGGACTCACGATGATTGGAGCAAGGTTTGTCATTTGTATTATGGCAAAAAAGTTTTGTTTTTGAAATCCAGGTACTATGGACGGATGAATCAAAGTTTAATTCGATGGGTTCCGATGGAAAAATGTCTGTTCGACGTCGCGTGGGCGAGGCTTTTAGTCCAAAATGCACCAAGGCCACATTGAAGCATGACCCAACATCAGTCATGATTTGCGGTTGTATGACTGCTGAAGGTACCGGACCTGTATATCGTGTTCATGGAATTATGGATCAATATCAGTACGTGGATGAAATTTTAGACAATGTGGTTGAGCCATATTCAAACACTCGTCCTAAAAACTGGATTTTCCAGGTTGGAATTAAGAACGTCTTTTGCTGGCATCAACAGTCTCGGCATCAATAACGAATTCCAAAATTCGGTAAGAATGGACTGTGTAAAAATAAAGCCTTAAAATTTCAATGATCCAGTCAAAATAGCTAAAACTTGTGCCAATTTGAGGTATCATTCGGCGGTTCGGGATTCGGTCATGTGGCTGAAACTTTAACCGAACGCCAAATCGTTCCCTTCGAGAAAATTCCCGGTTTCCCGAAAACATCCGGTAAGTTGTACAATTTTTTAAAAGTTCAGACAACTCCACAATTATTTTCCAGTTGAGGGGCACTCGGGAAATCTCGTTTTCGGCTATTACAAGGGAAAATATATTTGTTGTCAACAAGGAAGAATCCATCCATACGAACATCATATGAATTTGGCTTTGGTGAGTGAAAATGAAAAAGCCAAGATTGACATGATTACTGTAACTAATTTACATTCTGTGTACTGTTGCCCGTTTTTAAATGCACCAGCAAATGCTATTTCCCCAGTTGGTCAATGTGTCCTAAAAGTTGACCTTCAGAAAAAAATACTGTGAGACTGCTTACTTTTCGTCAAAAATGCAGTAGAAGCACGGTAGTTTTCTCCCTTGGGACCTTCTAGCAAACAGTCCCGGATTAAATACAAATCAAGACTAAATTAGCCCGTAAAATGCCACTCCCGTCCGTATCATGTACTTTTTGGGTCTCCGTACGTTGATCGCCACAAATGCCGTTGGAGCTGTGAATAAATCGTATATCACTGGGGATTTCATGGTCTACAAGGTGGGTGAATTGATAATTCCACCAATTGTCAATTCGAAATTTAAACTCCTGAAACTTTAGCAATAAAACCAGTAGCAAACAATAACAAATTTTCAAATTAAAGTGGTGAAAAGTTAACAAAGTGAAAATAAAGTATAACAAAGGTGTTTCGAATATTTACAACAGATCCGGCTTGCCGGTCTCGATCTCCACTCGGTCATCGTCATCGTCATGAACATCGTCGAGACTTTGAATCAGTTCCTAGAAGTAAAATGAAAATTTTTGTATAAATTTCAACCCACTTTGATTATTCTGTCATATTTCCGTAAATGAGGTATGTATTCCTCTGAGCACATCTCGAAATCCGTCGTCAGCTTTCTAAAATAGGACTTTTGCTCAAAAATATCCCCCAAACCCTTACGTGCATTTATCTCGTTTCTTTTTCAAATCCTCGAAAGTTGGCACATTCCTGAGGGCCCTCTCTTTGTCCAAAAGTTTCTAAAGAAAATTTAGCTTCTCCCAAATCAATGAACCTTTCCATTAAATCAGATAGTATTGAAAACAGTCCTCTACCTGTTTAAATCCTTCGATATCACCATGGAGTTCCTTGTGAAGATCCGGGAACAACAAATCGTAGGTATTGATCACGCCAATTGAAACTTCACGAAGCTTGTCTGAGACTTGATTAACCTAAAAAGCAAAATCTTCAATATTAGTCTATCTGTTACCTCTTCTTGCAAAAGAACCATTGTCACGTGTTGACGATGTTTCTTATACGAACACGTCCCACAAAGCTAAATTATTGGGGAAATAAGGAACAAAATGATCCCGACCTTCAAAGTGCACTCATTGCAGTGAAACATTTCGCTGATACTGTCCTGATAGATTTATTAATGTTAGATCTTTTTAATCAAACAAACCACTTTCGCGCATTTATCACAAAAACGTTGTCCCGCTTCCTCCATATCTTCCAGTTGTTGCGTCATTTTTGGCAGCTCTTTCAGAAAATCTTAACAACAATTATACATTAAATACCACTATTTAAAAATTACCCTGAAGCCGGTCCCTTTTAGAATCGCCGAACGCAGACTCGCCGAACGAATCATCACAAAGTGGGCATGTGATCGTATACATTTCCCCTTCTTCTTCTTCATCTTCTACCCGTCTCTTCAGGTAGCATTCAGTGCACAGAACGTGATTGCAATTTAAAGCACGGGAGCTTTTTTCACCCTCATGTGAGTCTAAAATGACGATCATAAGCCAAATTGTGCCAAGTGCCAAAACTTACACTCCTCCTGACAAATTATGCATTCAGGAAGTTTGAATGGCTAAGAAAGACAATTTTGTTACTCAGCAAAACATGGGCAAACCTTCACAAGTAGATAGCCACCTAAGATTGGCGAAAGCATCAAATAATCCGATGACAGAACATCTGAACTCCAAATTATAAAAATTTTCTTTTACCCTGGCAACGTACCAATTAGAAAGTAGGCAAAATTCGGGTTGTCAAAGCATATTTCTGAATCACATTGATGCTTTCTTTCGTCTTTCTCCAAAGATTCCTCTTTCTCGAAGCATTCATGGCACATCGCTAATCCACAATTCAAATGCCGTGGAGATCGAGGTTGATTTGCGATCGGCACAACTAAAGAAAACCTTAGAAATTTTTATATTCTTGACAAGAACCTAGGTAGCTGTTGCGGTAACAAAAGAACTTGAATTTTTAAAGGAAAAGTTGGCCAGTGGCCGACTGGTTAGGAATCTTCTCTCCTAATCGGAACATCCAGGGTTCGATCCCGCTGGCGAAATCAAGTGTGTGTTCTTTTTCCCATTAAGTTGGGTTTTTTCTTAACTACATTGTAGGGGTAAAAATTGTGTCCTCCGTTGTGTTGTATCCACTTATTCATGTTGAATAAAGTATCTTTTAAAAGCTGAGACTTACACGGTTTCTTGCAGAGGATGCAGTTCAACGACTTGAATACCCTCATTTCTAAACAAACTGTCGTCCATACAAAAGATTTAATTAATATTATAAAATCAATTTCAAAGGTATCAACTAAACCAGCTACAACCGATGCTAAATCGTAAAACAAACAATTATAGCAACTTTATTGACCTTATAACAAATTTGCAAAGTGTAAATATCATATACCAAAATCACAAGCTAACAAAATTAGATCATAACATAAAAAGTAACAAGGTTAGATGCAAAAGGGAATGTAAACAAGATATGGCTTAATTTGGATCATCATCGAGAGTTTTCATCAATCCCTAAGGCCAAAATAAAATTAGCAAAACAAATTCAACTCACTTCGACTCTTTTGTCGTATTTGGGTAAGTAGAACATGTATTCTTCTAAGGACGTCTCGAAATCCGTCTTTAGTCCTTTGTAGATAGAAAAATTTAAAAAAACAAAAAACTGAAAATTGCTTACGGGCACTTTATCTTTTCATCATAAGCTGACTTGTGTGCTTCGGGTCTCCATCTTGCATGAATAACCACCCCTGTCCCATTTTCGCTTGTGCCTGAGGTAGCATATGTGTCTCCAATATGTCCTTGTACTTGTGAACATCCATAATTCCGTCTATCAAGACTAGCGGACCAACGTCGGACGATGACATGCAACCTAAATATAAACAGAATTAGGCACAATCTAAAAAACATTTACTAACCCCAAACCATGATTCCTCCACCATTGAATTTGACTGTAGGACGCATATACTTGAGTTTATAGCGTGTTCCAACAGGCCGACGAATCATTTGACCACCATCCGGATTGAATATATTGATCTTCGTCTCGTCACTCCATAGTACCTTCTTCCAAACGTCGATCGTCCAACGTTTGTACGTCTTTGCGAAGGCCAAACTCAATCGCCGATGTCTCAAAACCATTAGAGGCTTTCGTGCTGGTCGTCGAGCAAACAATCGAACCGATTTGAGCCGGTTTCGAATTGTTTGAGCGGTTACTTCAAGCCCAAAGCAAGATTGAAGCAACTTGGCACCGCACAGCGTCGGTACTCGTCCTGTTTGGATCCTTTAAGAACATCCCGATCAATGAACGGTCCTGTCTGATTGTTGTTTTAGGTGGTCGACCACTTTTTGAATGTCGTTGCACATTTCCCTCTAGTTTTTGTCGTTTACAAAGGCTGGAGACGGTAGAGCGATCAACGATAAAGAGACCACAAATGGCCTTCACTTTCATCCCTCCTTGACGGGCTTTGGCAATGTTTTCCTTAGTCGGAGTGTCCAGATATCGCTCGCAGGGCATCTAAAAAAGCAATTAATGCACAAAAAACAAAGTCAGAAAAAAAAGAAAAAGTTTACAACAGAATATGGTGCAGATGGTGCAAGACTTTTTTTGCGCTCTAAACCGGGTGTCTCTAATAAAATTTATGTTTTACGTCAAAAGAAATAACTTGCAACAAAAATGAATAATATATTCGGAAACTAGACTACAATGGTAGAATTAGTTGCCAACAAGTTTTCTCTGAAACGCTTATTTTTGCGAAAATTTTTGTTTTAAGCCTTTGGGAGAAAATGGTGCAAGGCTTTTTTTTTTGCTGACTGTATGTGTCGTAGCCGTTTACGAAATTCAGCCGCTAGCGAATGAAATTTTTCGCTAGCCGCTAACGAATCGTTCGTAAACGGCTAGCCTTTAGCGTTAGCGGCTAGCCGATGTTTTGAGTGGTGTCCCGGGTAATTATTGTGATTTTGTTTTATCGCTATTCAACTGAATAAAGCATATACATAAAGGTTTTGTTCTACAACAAGACTGGGCTCCAGCCCATGGCGCTACTTCCACTCGACAGCTCTGTCAGCAGCTCTTTCCTGGATTTTGGGACAAGGATGTGTGGCCGGGAAACGCACCAGATTTGAACCCATTGGACTTTTCTGTGTGGTCAATTCTTGAAGAAAGGCTTCGCAAGTATCGATACACGACGGTTGCCGGTTTGAAAACGGCCTTGACTCGCGCTTGGAGCGAAATTACAGCGCAAGAATGCGCGACCATCATTCAGGAACTTTCCGAAGCGGCTTAGCAAATGTGTTGAGGCCAAAGGTGGAAATTTTGAACATTTAATGTAGGAATTTTTGATAGAAAAGTTATTGTTGAGCTTGAAGTTGTTAATTCTTGTTAAACTTTCGAGATAAATCTTTTTAAAAAGTGCTGAGGGAAATTTGACGATGCGCAAAAAATTCGCCGTATTTTCTGGTCACCCTGTATATAAATGGGTATCCGAGTGTTGGCGATGGCGTCGATCACTAATGATTTTGTCTATTTTGCCTATTTAAAAACTAATGCCATATCAAAAATCAAAGCTTTACTTAAACTTTAAGACTTTTTCATCAAAATTCCCGTCTCTTTTGCTAAACTGTACTCTTTTTTTCTTGATTTGGAAGTGATTTTTAGCATTTTCTTGGCAATTTTCTTTTGAAAACCCTTTTCTATTGAAATTTCGACCATTACATTGAAAAGAAAAAGAAAACGAAAATTTCACAGCCAATTCAAAAGGTTTTCTATGGTAAAAGAGAGAAATTATCATTGCCTTCCAAAATGTTTCCGGTCTTTTTTTTAGGAAATTTTAGAAACTTTAGTCAAACCACAAGTCAATCATAGTAAAAAGTGAAAAAAACTTTCGGCAAAATGGCCCAAAATCGCTCAAAATCTTTTGTTTTCTCGAGAAATTATTTCTTGGTCTTCAGAATTTGAAAAATCTGACTTTTTCATTGCTAAGTTTAAAGGTTTTCAACCAAAAGTTTGCTCTAGTTCCCACCGTCTACTAATCCTTGTTCCCCACCGTCTACTCTAGTTCCCACCGTCTACTAATCCTTGTTCCCCACCGTCTACTCTAGTTCCCACCGTCTACTAATCCTTGTTCCCCACCGTCTACTCTAGTTCCCACCGTCTACTAATCCTTGTTCCCCACCGTCTACTCTAGTTCCCACCGTCTACTAATCCTTGTTCCCCACCGTCTACTCTAGTTCCCACCGTCTACTAATCCTTGTTCCCCACCGTCTACTAATTCCATCCTCATTGAGTTTCTGCTCAAAATTTGTAAACGCAACTTTTTTGGTGCACTGAATCTCAGTTTTCAGAGCAACTACTCGTTTTCGCGAGAAAACAAGTGATTCACCGCACCAGAAACAATGTTTTTGAACGCCACAAAGTACACCAGTGAAGAATCGATTTGGTTAAGCGATCCGGTTACTTGCAACATAACTTTCTAGAGTCACTTTCTTATGCAGTAGATTTCGATTTGCTTTTGAAATCTATATAAAAGGGCACGATAATTGGGGTAGCTTTTCAGAAGTAACTGTTTCAGTTGAAAGTAATGGCTGTATTTTAATTTCATTCAAGAAACAACCCATCGCACAGTAGATTGGAAAGCAATCGAGATTTCAGTTGGGTCACTTTGAGAGTGCTTAGGGAGAGTACGATAAAGCTTGAGTTGAAAGTAATGGCTGTATTTCAATTTCATTCAAGAAAAAACCCATCGCACAGTAGATTAGAAAGCAATCGAGATTTCAATTTATAGTTTTCACTCACAAAGTCTTTCAGTTTTCAAGACGCATCGAAATGTGGTGCAAATCCGAGAATGATTGATGACATTACATTATACTAGTGATTACTGTACTTTTAGTGTGTTTTATTTATTTCCGTTCACTTCTGTTTGTTCTTTTGTTCGCCACTGATGAAGATTATCTCCAGATTTTTATTTTGACAATAAATAACTGAATATCTTTTGATTTTTGCTTCACTAAAAGCTCAGATATTTACTGAAAGGAAAAAAGAAACAAAAAGTAGGAAAACAGAGAAGCCAATTCATCAAAAAAGAGACCAATTGGTCATTTTTTTACTTTAACTACAAGAAAACTTTAAAGTAATCTATATTCTTTTTTTTCTTTTCATTTTCTTAACATTAACTTGTCTCGATCCAATGCCTCGATCCGATGAGCCGGATGATCGTTTCATTTTCAGAGTTTCAATGAAAAAGTGATTGTCGTGAATGAGATTGAGCTTTAGATTGAGAACGAATCAAAGAAATGGGAATGATCTTTACGGCTTTACACATTCCCCTTCACTTTTGCCTCTTTTCTTCCCTTCTCTTCTTCCTCTTCTTCCCTTCCCTTCTTCCCATTGGCCTTTGACCCACTCTTTCACCTCACTTGGACCCCATTTGAACAGCCCAGAAAGACCCAAATCGCTTTTTCTCCAAAGATCTCACCTCCAATCAATGATCTCATTTCATTCGTTCATTTCATTCGTTCAATTTAGAAATTTCTTTTTAAATCTTCAACTAAAATGATTTTAAACTACGCTAAAACTTTAAGTTTTGCTTTTTTTTGCTTTGCTTTGCTTTGTTTGTTTTGCTTTTTTGCTTTGCTTTGCTTTGCTTGTTTTGCTTTTTTTTTGCTTTAACCTTGGGAAAAAACTTTCAACAATTCATTTGTAAAAAAGAAATTCGCGAAATTCGATCACTTTTTCAGTTGATTCTCTTTCTTCACTTTTTCTCACTCATCCCACTCTTCGGTAAACAATGTCGATGACCAGTGATCGTAAGTTCGATTTTAAAGAAAAAGGAAACGAGAATCAGGAATTTTCTACAAATACGAATCAAGAATGAATCAAAAATGAATCAAAAATTTCCCCAATCCCCATTTTCAGAAGCGAAATCCGCTCTTGAAGGCCAAGTGCTCGAGTACATCAAAAAGTTGAATAATGGAGAATGGGAGGTTTGTGGGGGATGACTTTCATGGCTCACAACTTTGTTTAGAGATTAAATTTTTGTGAACTTTTGCGCTAGTTGTATAGAGGACATTTCAGGCTTCCTAATGATATCAAATAGTGTTGGATTGGTTTAGCCAAAGCAGAGAAAGTAAAGAGACACGCTGGCCGAGTTTGGTCGACCTTGTTCGTTCAGGGTTGGCTTTGATCTCTGGCTTGGCAAGTCCAATCAAATTCTTTTTGGTATCATTCGAAAGCCTGATGTGTCCTCTATACAACTATGTACATAGTTAACCCTAATATAATTTCTAGACAGAGTTATTGTTCTTTAAAACATGGCTACTCATTCAGAAGCCCGAATTCTGGGCTGTCATCAAAAAGTTTTGTTATTTAAAGCAAAACCAATATAGCAAAACTAATATAGATAAAAGCCTAATATAGTTTTTATTCAATTTTAAAGTTTTCTCAATTTCTCAGGCTCTCGAAGAGTTCTATCATCCAAATGGAGTGATGGTCGAAACGGACAAAAGTTGTCTCTGGGGACAAAAAGGTTTGATAGGCATGGATCTATACAGGGTGCGTCATAATTATTGCAACAAGATACTCAAGGCATTGCACACCAAGAAGTTTCACTGGAAGAAGATTTTTAAACAGAAATAGCTTTATTTAACAGTAAATAATAAGGAAACAAGAGATCATTCGATATGACCGCCTTTTGCCTTGATAACAGCCCTTAATCGGTTCGGATATGCCTCCACTGCGGCCCGAATGTCATCTTGAGGAGTCGCCATCCATCCTTTGGTCAAAGACTTCTTCAAGGTCAAAGACTTCTTCAAGGTCAAAGAGCAGACATTAGCCTCTAAGATTGCCCAAATGGAAAAGCCCATCACATTGAGATCCGGTGAGTTTTGAGGCCATTCATCCTTGGTGATCACTGAGGGAAAGTTGGCCGATTACAGTCCTTGGTGATCACTGAGGGAAAGTTGGCCACACACCAGTCCTGAACCGTCTTCTTCGTGTGAGCGGGAGCTCCATCTTGCATGAAGGTCCAATTTTGATTGTTATTGGCTTTACACGCCTATGACATCACATTCTTCTTTAAAACTTTATTCAAATAATACTTTCCGTTAATTCTCACGCCTTTTTCAACAAAAAAACAAGGCAGTACGCGAATCGGCGGTCACTCCAGCGAAAACCATCACAGATTGTGGATGCGATGATCGAAGCACCGTTCTTCCAATTTTATCAGCATCTTCAGAGCTGTTGGCAAGTACTCGATCATTTTGGGTCCCTTTCGATGAAGATCCAAGATAGCACCACGGCTTGCACTTGGCTTTACCATCTCAATCGTACCTAAAAATTTAAATGTATTTTGAACCAAATTAGGCAAGAATAAAGAAGATAGAACGCAACATAACAAAAAAAAACAAAAGGGGGCAAAAAAAATAAGAAAGCTGTTTAGAAAACGGTCTTTGAACTCTTGTTGCAATAATTATGACGCACCCTGTAAAAACCCTTCAAAACTAAGATTTATAGATAAAAACATTAAAAAGCTAACATTCAAAAGCTAAATTATCCAAATTTTTTTTTCAGATATTGGTCGCTCATTGATGCAAATGTCGACTGAGTGCGGGAAAACGACCATGTCGGTAAGGGAAGGGAGAAGTTCGAGGTTTTGAGGGAAATAGCTCTTTTATCTATAATATATTCTTTTTCAATAAAAAATCTTTACCCAGGTCTCAAATTCTCAATACGATGGTGTCCGGGATTACATCATTTTCGAGACCGATTTCTGCTTCCACACCGAGAAAGCCGGTGACCTCAAGGGACACTATGTGCAGGTGAGAAAAGATAATAGATGGATAAAAGTTAGATTAAAAAAAAGTATACCGTATTTTCTGTAATAGTAGTGCAGTCTGTAATAGTAGTGCAGGCAGGAGGGGGGTTGAAAAAATAGTAGTGCGCACTACTATTACAGAAAATACGGTATTAGCTAAAAGCTGTACTTACTCAGAATTTCGATATTTTAGGGTAATACGATAGTTGATTTACAAAATAAGATGTTTCTTTTCAGATTTGGCGTCTCCACAACGGTCGCTTTGTTATCTATCATGATGAGTATGCCCTTATCTAAAGAAAATACAAACAAATTATCAAATATTCAATTCACAAAGCTTTTTTTCGAAAATTTCTCTTTTTAATGCATTTATTTGTAGCTTTTTTTAGTTTTTGAAACAATTTTCTGCTAGAGAAATGACTGTAGCTTTAATAAATCTCCATTTAATTAATCAAAGTTTTCATTTTCTTGGATAAATCGCAGTGAAGAGGATCTTTTGATGAGCGCCCGAGGAATTGAGAACCTGAAAAAAACCGTTCTCTAAAAGACGCCTCACAGAAAAAGCTACTGTAACCCTTCATGTTCAAATCTGTTCCCTAATTCACACGAATAATGGTGGTACAAACAGGTACAAGCACAACCGCTAAGCCCTAAATACAGAGAAGAAAAAACCACATATACATGTCGTAACTGATTTGCTGTTTCAGCCGATTTGCTATAGTCTTGGATTTGAGTGGTCTCAGAATGACGAACTTCGTTTAGAGATCTTGATATACCATAAGAAACTTCTAATCACCATCAGGGAACGGATTTTAGATCGACTTCGCTTGGCCTGGCTTGAGATCGACTTGGCATCACTCGTTCTGCTCCTGTGTGACAATCGGCTTGATGACAACTCCCTTCTTTGGGATCCCCTTCTTCAACTCGCACTCCGAGCACAGTTTAATAAAGAAAGAAAAAGAAATTTGAAGTAGATCATAAAACTTGAAAAACTCTGAGAAAATCTCACTGATAAATTGGCTAGCCGATCTGCTTCCAAAACAAATCGGTTAAAATAGCAAACCGGTTACGACATATATATGTTACGTCCGAATCCGATCAGTCCGGATCTGATCCGGACGTCCAAAACCGACCATTGATTATCTTGTGGTCGGTTTCGGACATCCTAATCCGACCACAATCCGATATAGCAAACCGGTTACGACATATATATGTTACGTCCGGATCCGATCAGTCCGGATCTGATCCGGACGTCCAAAACCGGCCATTGATTATCTTGTGGTCGGTTTCGGAGGTCCTAATCCGACCACAATCCGATAAATGCTATTGATCTCTCTTGATTCGTCGAATTTTTTATAATTTTTCAACTATGATAGTTTCACTCAAGCAAAATTTAAGAGACAAACAAAAATGCTTTTAAAACGTAAATGAAATTCTTCACCTTCTAAAAGATATTGAGCTTTTTCCATAACTTGAGGTCATGCTCTTGAACTTTTGTCCGGCACTGTATATATATGGTGGAAAAGAGACCAATAATCTAGCAGCATCAAACCCTTGACCTCTCAACTAGAAACATGACTCCTAACAAGTCCGTCATGGCGGGAAAGTTTGAGTTCAATCAAGGTCACGGTAATTTTTCCTGGGAAGCTCGTTTTAGGCTTAGCCGGAGATATCTAATCAGACATTTATTACAGTAACCCTACCCAATGTCCTTTCGGTATCCATTTCATCATCACATCATTCTCCTCATCCACACAATAGAATGGTTTGATTCCCATCGGATTTTCATAGACTTTTTCACCGATTTTCTCCATCAAAATCGATCTTTAATGGATTACGGTAGGTATTCTTGATAAACCTTACCGTATTCCTTTTCCCCGATACTCAGGCAGTACATGTAGATGTTGTACCATTCCCCGATGATCCACCATCACCCATCCAATCAAAGAATTATCGGATTTGGATCGAATGCAAATTGATGGAAGATCATGAATACGGTGTCTATAGATGATTTTTTAGCTGAATTCCATTGAAATAAGCGAAACTTTATCCGTTGAGCTTCATCTTTTGCTGAATATCTCCACTTTGAGGCTACAAAATTAGCGTCCTTTTCGTTAAGGGAATCGAGAAAAAAACTGAAATATCAATATTGATGTAAAGAGGAAAAATTGATAAAGAGAATAGGGTTAATTGAAAAAAAATGATACTCGATAAACGATTATTGAACAAAAGAAGAGTGAAATTGTAGAGACTGAAGAATTGATTCTATTCAAATACAAATTTAAATTCGGAATTTGTTAAATGAGTGAAATAAATGAGTGATAAATCTGAATTTAAGCACTATCTTTAAATCATTTTATGTGAATTCCAAAGAAAACATAGTTTTATACGAAAATAAGGTCAAATAAAATGCCCAGAAATGAATGGAGATGAATGGAGATGAATGGAGATGAATGGAGATGAATGGAGATGAATGGAGATTAATGGAGATGAATGGAGATGAATGGAGATGAATGGAGATGAATGGAGATGAATGGAGATGAATGGAGATTAATGGAGATGAATGGAGATGAATGGAGATTAATGGAGATGAATGGAGATGAATGGAGATGAATGGAGATGAATGGAGATGAATGGAGATGAATGGAGATGAATGGAGATGAATAGAAATGAATTAAGCGATTAAATTCTGTTTTTTTGGATGAAATGATCATGATTGGCTAATAAAATAGAAAATTTATCGTTTTGTCGAGATGAATCGAACTCACCCATTTTCCAGCGGTTTTTCCACGAATTTCGCTCCACGAGGAATCATATTTAAACAATCAAAGCAATGTGGATCGGATGAAGAAGAGAAGTTGTGGGAATGGAGGAGATGGGGCTTTAGCTGAATTTCTGGGGTAGGCTACTTTGCGCCAAATTTTTTGCGCAACTGGATCGTTTGCGCAACTCGTCATAAATTTCTTCTAAGTGACCCAATCTCTATGATTTTGGTTTCATTTTGTAGATCTCAATGAGTGCAATAAAATGACACCAACATCATAAAGATTGACCGACTTAGAAGAAAGTTATGGCGAGTTGCGCAAAAAAATTGGCGCAAAGTGGCCTACCCGGAATTTCTTCTTTAAGTTAAATGTCTTTTACAGTATGCTGAATAAAGTAGTCAATTGACAAGCTGGAATTCTTTTATTCCACCTACAAGAGTGACTTACAAGAAGCTAAGTGACTATAGTACTATCCATTTCGATGCAATTTCCTATTCCATCTACCTTTTCCACCGTTTCCGCATCACCCCACAAAATGACGAGCTCCGAATTGGCCATTTCTTGAAAAAGTTTCGATTTTTCTGCGAAAATCTTCAATGCTTTTTGCAAATCGTTAAAATTTCGCTTTCCATCGAAATTGACAAAGAAATAGGTACTGAAAATTGGATTTTAAACGATATTCAAACTTTACTTTGTGCTTAATTTCTATTTCTGCTTTATTTCTGCTTTATTTCTGCTTTATTTCTGCTTTATTTCTGCTTTATTTCTGCTTTATTTCTTAATTTCTGCTTAATTTCTTAATTTCTATTTACATTTGAAAAAGTCCACAAAACCTACCCCAGGAAATCCATTGCGTAAAACCAGAAATTCGTTTTCAAATTCGAAAATTTGTAAACTTCAAATTTCCCCACTGGAATTAGGTTGTTTTTGGCGATCTGTAGAGCGCTTTTGAGTGGGGAAAATGTTTGAGACGATGGCATTTCGTTGTCTACTTCAGAGAAATCTTCAAGAGTACACCACAATTTTGAGCACATTTCTGGAATTTTGATTTTTTTTGTTTCTTTTTTTAAGTTTTTGAGAGAATTTAAAAGATTTCAATGGAAACACAAACCTTCGGAGCCTTATTTTGTTCACAGCCTTGTTTTGTTCTGAGTCTTGTTTTGTTCTGAGCCTTGTTTTCTTCAGCAAATTCTTTGATTTTCAACCTAAAATTAATATTTCAAGATATTTTTCATCGTTTCTCACCTTTTCGAAATTGTGAAAAAGTAATTTTATCAAAGCTTTTCCGATAACAAAAGACCAAAAGTGTACTTTGTTTTGTCGTGTACATTTTGAGGGAAAACATTTCATTTGAAACTTGAAAGCTAACAATAGCTAACAAAAAAAATGATAGAATACATAAAGATTTGTTTATGATAGATAAGATTGGGTATCGTCAACTCAAAAACTTTAAAAAGGGGCATTGTTTAGCCTTTAAGTTTGTTTTGAATACGGTAGGTTGGAATTCCAAAGAAACTTAAAGGCTAAACAATGTTCCTTTTTGGAGTTTTTGCGATTACAATACCCAATATTGTGATCGCTAAAAGGAAAAAAGCGTTTCGACTTCAAGCAAATCGATTTTGTACTTCTAAATTTGTTAAGTTTAAGCCGATTTTCTAAATTTAAAGTTCAAATCTGAGTTTCTTTCAAAGATTAGACTCTTTTTTCTTAGAATCTCTGAAATTTCCCCTATTTTTCGATGCCTAATCATTTTTATTTTGTTTTTTCTCACTTTCAATCGAATGTTGATGCTTGGAAAGAAAAAGAGAAAGAAAATAAAAGCGAAATCTGCCTTTTCCCATTCGCAATATTTTAATGCACTTATTTTTTAAAAATTTACATTTATTCCCCGATAATGCCTTCAAAGATTTTCAGGAGTTTGAATTGCACGAAATGCAAGAAACCGTGTGAGATTTATAATTGCATTTACTTTATGCTTTATGGTTCAATTTTTGCCGATAGACCTTTTTCCAATAGTGACGCAAAACATGAAGTTCACTTTTATTCATCTAAAGATATGGAATGTGTAAAGTATAGTGTATTCCCCACAAATCAAATCGTTCAAATCATGCTTTCTAAAAGTTGCTCATTAGCAAAGTCATTTCCTAAAAAGCGCGCTTTTCTAAACGTTTTTTTTGCGGGTGGGACAAATGCTTCTTTTTTCGCTGGAAAAGGCCTTAGGAAAGGCTGTAGAGCTTCAAAAATGTTTTCATATAAGGGAATCATATGCGTAGATTCCGATTTTCGACAAAACAGACCTCGCTGACACGTCAAATTTGGGCTAAAAGTTAAAAACTACGCAAATTAACGATTTTCCGCAGTTTCTGTTTGCAAAAAAGCAATAGTTACACTTTATTTTGACTTTGGAAAATGAAAATAACTTTCTACTTATGAACTGCGAGATTACAGTAGCACTTTTTAGAAAACATAATTTAAGAGGAGTACACTCTAGTAAAGTAAATTATATAAGAAAATGTTCGCAAGAAAACAGGCTTTCAAATGAGCCAGAAACTATAAAAATCCATTGTCAAAATAATTAGATAATTTGAACTTTTCTGCAAGTGATCGCTAACTTTTTTAACAACCTAGTAACAAGAAGGGAATTTGGAAGGTAAACTTAAAAAAGCGCTAGAAAAAGGGATAGATTTTACAGAAGGTGGGAGAAAACTTATAAAACTTATAAAACTTATAAAACTTATAAAACTTATAAAACTTAAAGAAAACTCGGTATAAAAACCGGACAATGAAAATGAAAATAAATATTTTCGGAAAATGACAAAAGGGGAATTTTTGTGTGGGGTACGGTAGGGTATCCACGCTTTAAAAAAGTGCGTCGCGCCGCCGCTCACTCTCTTAAAATCGAAAAGTCAATGGAAATGTAACTGTTTTTAGAAAAAAACGCAATAATTAGTTGAGCAGTAGACTGACAATTTGCTTATTTTTAGTCACTCCGACCACAGATGAGCCAACTTCACCGCAGATCGATGAATGCGGAAATGCGATTTGCAAGAAATGTTTCGACAAAACTTATGCAAATGGAATCCTCGTCAATTCACCCAATCAAACAACAGCTTATTTTCTGATTGGTGCGTTCTTTTACTACAGAAAGTGTTCATAAAAGCTTTCTTTAAAGCTTAAAGCTTAAAGCTTTAAAATTTGACTTTAAAGCTAAAGAAAGCTTTAAAATTTGACTTTATTGGTGTACTTTGTGCTTTCTTGTAAACACCCTTTCCATCGCAGGGAATCCTTTTAATTCTCTCATAGAAATGAATGAAAAGCTAGAGATTTGCTGCTTTAAAGCGTAACCCAGCTACCGTAACCCGTAACCCGTAACTCGTAAATGGAAACAAACCCTTTCTGGCACTTGCTCAACGAAATGAAGAATTTAGTGCGCTAGATCGGGTGTGTTTACGAGATTTTAGCAAAAAGTACACGAAAAAGATGATTTCCAGAACTTCTCTCGAATGATTCACTCGTTTTGACGATTGATCGAAAGGGTTACAAACTTGTCAAAGTAAATTATAATATTTTCAAAAAATCCGGTCAAATTCAGGATTGGAAACAGCCGGAATGTGTGGTCTGTCATGAGGAATGTTGGTTTTTTGATTTTTTTGATTTTTTTGAATTATTTACCGTATCTTTACAGTTTCTCCATCAATCGATTCGCATTTCCCTTGTATTCTCTCTTGTCGTCACGTCATTTGCATTGAATGCTCGGAAATTATTCGTAAAGAAAAGAAATCGGTCGCACAATTGGCGTGTCCAATTTGTGCACAAATGAGTGCATATCCGGAGAAGGGAACAATGACGAAGAAGAATGTTTATCTTGGTGAGGATTATGGTGATTGGGTTACGGTATTTGGAATGCTGTAGACCGGTTACTGTATTTGGACTACTGTAGGCCGGTTACTGTAGTCGGTCTTAGAGTGTGTTCCTCTCAAGCAAACAATTGCTTGAGTAAATTCGCATTAAAAAAATTTTCGCTCAAGTAATTGTCAAGTAATGCACATTCTAAACTGCACCTATTTTCCACTTTGATATCTACCGTATTCTCTCTAATAGTAGTGTACCCTGAGCACCTAAATTGCTCGAAACCAACTGTTAATTCATCTACCGTATTTTCTCTAATAGTAGTCCACCCAGAGCGTCGCCTAAATTACTCGTAATCTCGAAAACCGCTTATCAGAACCTATCGATGTGGGGTCGGAAAATGTAGCTGACAATGAGATCTTGTGGGGGATTTGTGTGTTGAGCTTCTGTGAAAACTTTGAAAGCCGTAAAATAGTCATCAACTCGGCCAGCCCGGGTGCACTTCTATTAGAGAAAATACGGTATATACCAGCTAGCCATCAACTTTGATCCCAATTTCCATTTTACTAGTAGAGCCAACATTAAAGTGGTAGTGGGGGAGAAAATAGAATTAAGCTAGTTTGGCTGACAATGATAACGGTGGAAGTCAAGCGGACAGTAAATGGCAGTTGAGCTTGATAGGGAAATTAATTACCAATGAATTTGGTACTATCCTAGTTGGGCACTTTTTTTTCCTTCAAAACTACTTTTTCTGAGGTAGTTTTATGCGTAGATTCCGAAAAACACAACGAGAGCTGAGGAAAACACGTTTTAAGCCGAGTTTCGGGGCTCCAAATTGCGCGCTCATACAGTGTGATTTGAGAAAGCAGATGCAAACAAAATCATTTTTTTTTTTGTTTTCTGTCAATCAAATATGTATCAAATAATTATGTTTGTTTTACTCCTTTTTTTAATGATTTAATTCATTTTTAATGGATAATTTTATTTTTAGATTGACAATAATACGGAAAAACAATCGCTTCACTTATGTCACTTTAAACAAAAAAAAATTAGGAGTTTGTTTTACAAAAATGTTTCGTATTTTTGGGGTAGGCAATCGTTACTTGAGAAGCTTTGAGAACATTTTGCATAAGTCGTGCTATTTTTTTGGTATTCTTGCTCATAACATAAACAAATGAAGGCAAACTTGACTGTCTTCTAGGCTTAAAAAGTTCTTAAAGCTTAAAGCTTAAAGCTTTAAAAAATTAATCGATTTCTTAATAGATTTACCGGTTTTTTAGAAATAAGAGTAAATTTTGATGAAAATTTTGTCTAAAGCCTAACAATTATCGCCAAAATATAGCAAAAAAAATACGAGGTAGGCTAATTTCCGAAATTTTTTCTGCGCAACAGGGTCATTTACGCAACTGGATCGTTTGCGCAACTCGCCATAACTTTCTTCTAAGTGAACCAATCTTTATGATTGTGGTTTCATTTTGTAGATCTCAATAAGTGCAACAAAACGAAACCAAAATCAATAAAGATTGATCGACTTAGAAGAAAGTTATAACGAGTTGCGCAAATTCTGCGCAGAAAAAATTGCGGAAATTACCCTACCCCAAAAATACGAAACATTTTTGTAAAATAAACTCCTAATTTTTTTTTGTTTAAATTCATTTGAATGCAAATTTACATGAAGGATTTTGAATATTTGTCTGGAGCCTTTTTGGACAAAGGTGCCTTTTTTGAGGGCACTTTTTAGAAAACGCATTACTTGAAGAGGACCCACTCTAGTCAGACTAGTGTTTACAAAATTTAAGCACAACACATCTCCATCAGGGTTACGGTAATAATGATGATAACCAAAATATAAATATTGGGTTGATGCATAATTATCCGGACTTCTTTTATAAATGATTTTATTTAACAAAAAATAACATAAATAGTTAGAAAAATATGTTTAATTGATTATTCTGGAGCATATTCACCGCCTACATCAATAACTGATTGCCATTTGCTTGGAAGACGATCGATTCCACGAGCGAAGAATAAACGATCTTTGGAGGCAATCCACGCTTTAACATCGTCTATCAAGTCATCCAAAACGTTGTAGATCTTATTTGTTTGCCAATTTTTGAGCGATCGATTGACGTGGTAGTCCGTTGGGGCTTCTCCAGTTCTTTGAGATCGCGAAACGACTCTGCGGCAGACCATCCCTTTTCGAAGTGGTAGAGCATGATATGGCGAAGATGGATATGATTGTCGACACGCATTTTGTTCACTAAAGAATAACGAATATTTAAAAAAAAGAAATAGACAAAAAGCTTTCAAAACAAAAAAGATACAAGCACGCAAAAAGAAGTCCGGATAATTATGCATCAACCCAATAGTATCTGTAATTTGAAAAATTTTCAGAATTCCTCAATGAACTCCCACAAATGATCGAGGAATTCGAATTCTCAAAGCTTGGCTTAAAAAAGTGTATTCAGTGTGAGGAAAGTGTAAGGTTTTTAAACAAAAATCCTTCTTATAATAGGTTTATAGACAACGATTGACAAGATGTACGGATGTGTGACATGTGATAATGGGGTGAGTGGGGAAATTATTGTAAAACAAGTGATAGTGTACAATCGATAAGGCAACCTTGGTATTAGGATCTGATTTCTGGGGCAAAAACCTGATCTCACGTTGATCCTGAAGTTTCTCTAGCCCAGCCAACCATGGTAAACTGTAAATGTTTAATGTAGGCAAGGCTTTGGTCTTGAAAATTTTGAGCTAGAGCTAAGTCAGACAGAGCTAAGGCAAACTATAGCCTAGAAACCGTGGCATGAAGATACTGTTAGTCGAGAGTTAAGCTTAAAAGATATTCAGTCAAATGAACACATTCGAGCCGCCGGCTTTTCCCGACGAATCAGCAATTATCTCATCGAGAAAGTATCCGATTTCACAAGAGGACCAAATCGAGCGAATATCTTCAAAAGAATCATTTCGCCACGTCGTGGGCCAATCACTGAATATCATGTGAGTTTATGACTGCATGAACTGGCTATTGATTTGATTATTCTAGCAAGGGAGCTGTACTTATCTTATTTTTATTTGTTTTTTTTTTTTAAAAAATTTAAACAAACCTTAAAAAATTTTTTTTTTTAAATTTTTAAATTTTTAAAATTAAAAATTTTTTAAAAATTTAAAAAAAAAAAAAAAAAGAAAATTTTTTTTTAAACTGAGGCGACTAAATGCTATGCGATCTATACCATTCAACGCAGAATTTCATGCTAATTCCGAATATGTATTCCGTTTTTGCTAAGTGACAATCTGCCAGGAGTTATAAGCGTCTAAAGTTTCGTTAGCATTTTGAAAGTTTGTTGCTTTAGTTCTTAGCGGGCTGCTCGCGGATCTAATTCGTTGAAGCCGTTGCCAAGTGGTACTTGTGGAGGCAAACAAACGTAGTTATACATAGAGAAAAATCGGCGATTTTCTTTAATTTAACCTATCCTCTTTTCACTTTCAAATTTGTTCTACAGGCACTAATATGTTCAAATCTTAAATTCTACACCCTAAAATCACCCTGAAAAACATTTTTTGATGTTAGCTTTTTAGGGCTTTGTTTTGATTAAGGTTACCTTTTTAGAGCTTTGTTTTGATTGAGGTTAGCTTTTTTGGAAATTGATTAAGGTTAGCTTTTTAGAGCTTTGTTTTGATTGAGGTTACCTTTTTAGGAAATTGGTTAAGGTTACCTTTTTAGAGCTTTGTTTTGATTGAGGTTAGCTTTTTTGGAAATTGATTAAGGTTAGCTTTTTAGAGCTTTGTTTTGATTGAGGTTACCTTTTTAGGAAATTGGTTAAGGTTACCTTTTTAGAGCTTTTTTTTGATTGAGGTTAGCTTTTTTGGAAATTGATTAAGGTTAGCTTTTTAGAGCTTTGTTTTGGTTAAGGTTACCTTTTTAGGAAATTGATTAAGGTTACCTTTTTAGAGCTTTTTTTTTGAAACACGAAAAAAGCTCGCATTCCTGTCCAATTCCTCAAATTTTTTTGCAAGAACGGTAAATTTTTTCATGTTTGCGTTTTAAAAAACGCATTACTCGCGAGAAAAAGACTCGAGTTTTTTTGTTTTTTTTTTTTGTTTCTAGCTCCTTTCCAGAGCCAGACCTGACAAGTTCAACCACTTTGGTTTGTTTTTTCAAGAATTGCTGACTAGTTCTTTGTGCTCGCACAACATATTTCTTGTTATCATATTTTTATAAAGTTTTAGTTGTAAGAAGGGCATTCATTGAATACTTTTACTTTGGTATACTGTGGCAGAGGGAAAACTATAGTGATCTTAAAGACTAAAGACTACTTTTCCAGGTTTGTGGAACATGTATGTTTCGAGGTCATCGACACCATTTGATCAGGGAACTTACAGTGATTGAGGTTTAGTTTGAGGATTTACTTTGTGCTCAATCGTGTAAACTTTCTGATACACTAGTAGTAATTTCCTCACTTTTCATCTTGTTGCCAAGAAAAACAAAGAATTGAGTGCACTAGAAAGGCTACGTTTACAAGTTGAGTTTCAAAACTCTCAACTTTAGGCTGTGAAAATGAAAGACGAGTTGGGGAAAGCTGTGACGAATTGTCTGCACACTTATTCGAAAGGGCTTTTCCCGGGATTGAGTGAGCAAATTTCGGAGAGAATTGCTGAATTTGAAGAGGTGAGGAAAGCCTTGACAAAGAGAATCAAAGTTTGGTGAACGCAACCGTTTGATTCTTATTTGGTTCCTATTTGTTTGCTATTCGGTTCCTATTTGGTTGCTATTTGGTTCCTATTTAGCTCTTATTTAGTCCCTATTCGGTTCCTATTTGGTTCTCATTTGGTGCTTATTTGGTTCTCATTTGGTTCTTATTTGGTTCTTATTTGGTTCCTATTTGGTTGCTATTTGGTTCCTATTTGATTCCTATTTAGCTCTTATTTAGTCCCTATTTGGTTCCTATTTGGTTCCTTTCTGGCACCATGAATTCTCTAATTCATTGCACCAGAAATAGTGTTTACAAAATGAAGTTAAGTTAAGTTTAACTTTCAGAAAATGCTCATCAAAATGAAAATGATGGAGGAAATCGAGAATTTCGAGGAAATCCAAAGATTTCATCGAGAATTCAGGTTGTGTAAATGAATTGAAAAATTGAAAAATTGAATTTTGAGCGATTTTTCAGTCAATTGATGACTCGTTACGAAGAGATTTGCGAGAGTTTTGTGCCGCATTTGCGGGGATTCGAGATGAAAATTATGGTGACAATATAAGAAATATTAAAAGACACCTAAGTGATCGTAATTGGATACTGGAAACTTGTTAGTAATAAATTTGCAAATATCAAAATTTACAGAGCCTCTTGGCGGAAGTGGAGACTAGTTGAAGGGACTTTTTATTCAAAAAATGTTAGAAAATCGACTTTTCACCGGAGTTTTTTGTAAAAATAGACCATTTTCTTCGATTCTAATAGCCTAATGACCAATTTCTTTCATTCATTTTACTGAAACTTAAATTTTGAATAATTTCATCTCTTTAGTTTGATCTTTTCATGTTTTAATCCTTTGGCCATTAGCTGGATAAAGATTACTTCAAAAATAGATCATTTTCTTCGATTCTAATAGACCAATAACCAATTTCTTTCATTCATTTTACTGAAACTTAAATTTTGAATAATTTCATCTCTTTAGTTTGATCTTTTCATTTGTTTTAATCCTTTGACCATTAGCTGGATAAAGATTACTTCAAAAATAGACCATTTTCTTCGATTCCAATAGACTGATTCATTTCATATGACCAATTTCTTTCATTCATTTTAATGAAACTTAAATTTTGAATGATTTTTCATCTCAAGTTTGATCCTTTCATGTGTTTCAATCCTTTGATCATTAGCTGGATAAAGATTTCTTTATGGAATACTGTTTGATTAAAGATTGCTAACTATTTGCTAGCAAAAGAAAGATACGATAGCTTTCGAAAAAAAAAACTTTTTAGAAAAACGAATTGGAAGAAAAGAGAATAGACAAACGAAATTTGCATAAACTACTCAAAACCAAAATAAAAATTAAAGAGAACTCAACACAAACACTATTCATTCGTCTCATTCTCTTCACACTAATCCAGTCATATTTTCTTCTTCACTCAATTTTCCGTTTGTTTCGATGTGATGGCTATCGCGTTAACTTAAACCACTTCAACCATTGATCAAAGGAAAATACTCAGTAAATACTTTTGAACATTTGCTCTTATGATCGATGTTTTCACAGAAGGAAAGGAAAGAATCGATTGAAAAACTACAATATTTAAGATGTTACTCTTCTGTACGAGTTACCAAAGATGAACGAACAATTGATCTCTTATGAACAATTGATCCATCACAACAACGATGTGATGGCTATCGCGTTAACTTCAACCACTTCACCCATTGATCAAAGGAAAATACTAGGTGAAGTGGTGAAATACTTTTGAACATTTGCTCTTATGATCGATGCTTTCACAGAACCAACAGCCATTCATCGCATCATTCGACATTTGACGGAACTCTGTTCTCATAAAATTTACACCCTTTCAAAAGCGTTTATATTAAGAATATTCTTGCATTTTAGACTTTATGGAATACTGTTTAGTTAAAGATTGCAAACTATTACAAGCAAAAGAAAAATAGGCACCTTTTGATTGACTTTTAAGAGTTTCTGACGCTTCATTAGCCTTAACGAAAATTACAAACAAATTTGTAATACAAAAATGCACCGTTTTCTCCAAAAGTGAAATTACGGGATGTGAAGGATGTTTTTTTTTTTTTAACAGCAAAAGCAACATAAATCTGAAACTATATATATCTAGAGTGTATTTCTACTCATACTCACCTTGGAAATACACTTGGCGCATTTGAACATTTTGTTAGCAATATCCAAAAATTTCTTTTAAAAATTCTATTGATTAAGCAACGATTTCATGGCATTCATCACAACAACGTTCAAAAGTATTTACCTAGTATTTTCCTTTGATCAATGGGTGAAGTGGTTGAAGTTAAAGCCGATAGCCATCACATCGTTGTTGTGATGGATCAATTGTTCATAAGAGATCAATTGTTCTCGTACAGAAGAGTAACATCTTAAATATTGTAGTTTTTACCGTGAAATCGATCCTTTGCTTTATCGACATGATAAATAGCTTCTCCCTTACAAATTGGGTAAGTAATATCGTATTCTGACTTATCTTTGGTGGCCTTGTTCTGGTTTGGTCTTCAAGTCCTGGTTTGGTCTTTGTCTTCTGTCTGTCTTCAAATAACATCCCGTGCAAATCATATGGTTACAGTAGAGCACAAATGGTTTCCTTGACTTAACCATATTTGAATCTAAAATATCAGATTTTAGAAGAGAAAGTCAAAACTTAAATTCATCATGACAAATCGGGCATTCTTGAATGCCTAAAATCGGTATTATTCGTACGAAAATGTTAGCCAAACCTTTACAAGTAAATATCGATGACCCAAAGTGCGAAAGTGCAAAAGAATCTTCTTGCGATAAAACATCTAAATAGTCCAATAGATTTAGTTCAAACAAATTTGCCTACCAATGCGAAAAAGAAAATGCGCAAATCCGTCACCACAATCAAAGCAAGATGCACAGTTGCATTGTTGTCTTCGCTCTTCCTCCTTCAACGACTTCTCCTTCTCGAAACATTCGCGGCACATCATCAATCCACAATCCAACTGATGTGGAGTGTGCCAAGAATCAAATTTTATTTTTAGGAAATGATTAACTTGACAAGGATCCAAATTTGCTTAACGTAAACACTTTTGAAATTTTATGAAAAATACAATTCGAATTTTTCATTTTAGAAGTTACTTTCCAAGGAGTTACTCTTACTTACTTTACTCTCAGTTACTCTCAAGTTACTTTACTCTCAGTTACTCTCAAGTTACTCTCAAGTGCCGTGCAATTTCAACAAAAACCAAACGTTTCTCAAGTAAACTTTTGATTTTATTTAGACACGAAAACCTAACTTCTAGAAAGGTGAAGACGAATTTCGAGGTTACCATGCAGAAGTACCACATTTGGGCAAATTTGGTGCCGAAGTCAATATAAGTAAAGGATTTTGTTCAAAAATTCAATTCAATTTCAAGTGATGATTAAAGCTCTTGATGAAGACGATGATAATTCATGCAATTGACTGTTTTCGCAGATTTCTAAGAAATTGAGCGTTGAACTTGACGATTTTCATCGATTTTTTTTTTCGTACTATTTCCAACTTTTACCCTATTTTATTCAGATTTCATTTAAAATTCCATCATTTTTTTTTTGATCTCTTTGTTACGTGGTTACATTTTTATAACTTTAATGATACAATGATTTTCTCGAAACTCGAAACTTTACAACTTGTTATCATGTACATACACGGTTTTGCGGTCTTTATTGAACCATGAAATTGGCAAGGAAAACGCTTTGTTTTAATGTGCTTTATCCATTCTGTTCATTTTGATTTGATTCAACTTTAAAATTGTTATTCTCAATCTGCTTTTTTCCTTGAATTACTCGAAATTTTACAACTTGTTATCATGTACATGCACAGTTTTACAAATAAATCTTGGGTAAGTTTTTGAAAGTTATTTCGATTTATTTTGGTCAGTTACATGTATCAAAGTCCAAAGCGATAGAGTTTGTGAGATGGCACACCGAATAGATGTGTTACTTTTTCTATTGTATAACTACAATTTTGTACCGAGCTCAAGGTTCTAAGGGTCATTGTCAAAATTGTTATCAAGAACAGGCTTCTTTTGAACAAGTTTTGGAATTCAAGTAAAATTTCTGAGGATGCAACTGAAACTTGAGCACTTAGATTTTCGACAAGAACTATTTTTGTAATAATTCATCCCTTTTCGGAATTTTTTTCCATGTTTTAAAACAGACACAAATCGAATGCAGATATATAATTTTATTTTCTTACGTAAAAAGACAAAGAACCAACAAAATCGATATTCAAATAACAAAGAAAATATTTACAATTTTTCAACTAGCAAAAAACTAAACCTAGTAAACAAAAGCAATTATTTATATTTTCCTTTCCATTCGAGATCGTACGGTGAAAGCCAACTTGTGCAGTTCTGCATATTATACTTCATCATGATGTCCCAATTGAAGCGATTCTAAAAGGAATTCTATACAGTAAATTAAATCCGTAATAAAAAGAATGTTTATATGGGGAAGGTGTGCAAGCTTGACTCATAAATATATTGGCGATAGTGGGAAACTTAACAAACAAACGAACCTGATTATGTCTTTGAATGAAATCCTCTTTTACTCGTCGTTCCTCCAAAATTTTTTGACTCACAAATTCGACGGGAAACTTGAAGCGCTCGCATAAATAAAGGAGAAAAGCTTGAGCCTAAAGAACAATAATTGGATAACATACTCAAAAGCCAATAACTTACTTCAATCTCCGTAATATGTCCACCAATCTCCAGGATTATCCGTTTCGCTTTCACTGGTGTCACGTAGTGATGAATTGATCCTTTTCCACCACCGAGTCGAGTACCCTAAATTCAAATAGTAAATTTCTTCTAATTAGCTTTTCTAATACCTGTGCTTTCTTTGTCCGCGGTAGCCATGGAGGATCCACTCGCCAAATCGCAAACTGTTTATCGATGAGATTTTTGTTGACACGATCCTAAAAAAGAACATGATTTAGATAAGTAGTGGCTCAAAATTTAATACAATTTTACTTATTAGTACTTGGCAGTACGCGACTATAAATATCGGAGTAACGTAAAAAAAACTTGCCTGTAGGAAATCAAAATCATCAGCGGAAATCATTCCTCCAGAAACAGCGGCTAGCCCATATTGTTCGTGGACCAACTCGGTGTGAATCTAAAGAAAACACTACAAAAGAAAGAGTGCTTTTAAAGTGTGCTTCATCTAGTCCAGCATAAATTTGCCCACTTGCTATTGACACAAACCTCTTCAACTCCTCTCCCCCAGATTGTCCTTTTTGATGTCTTGTATTTTTCCTCTCCCTTTTCTGGATCGTATGTCGGCTCTTTGGGCATCTTGGCTAATTTGAGTTGACCATCGGGTGGAAATGTAACATCTAAACAAATAATTTACCAGAGATAGTTCAAAGTTATGGTAAGTTGTTAAGTAGTTAAACTTTAAACTCATTAATTTAAACCATAAATGAACTCACTTTCAAAAGTTGCCGGAAATGGATATCTTTTCAATCCTCGAACCAGCGTGAAGAGTTGCCTTGCGCGAAGCATTGCCGTTAGATTAACATCCATCTCCCGGCTTCACTAAAATTAAGGTTTAAAATAAAGAATTGGGCATAACCTGGAAAAAAAAAATAAAAAAACATGAATCATCAAAGTTTTTTACGCAAAATCTA